ACAGAGTTGGGGGCCTAATCAATGTGCATACCACAAGCAGAAAGGGCATTGGCAGTGAGATTGTCCAAACCATCCCCAAAGAGGGAAGAGAGCGAACAAGATCAAGCCATGGCAACTTCCCTTGACTACTGATGAGATATGACAGGGCCATGGGGCTCCCCAGTTCCAGGCAACCAAATCCTTATCTCCCTTGAGGAGCCCTAGGGTGACCTTAGCAGTGGGAGGAGAATGTGTTAAGTTTTTGTTTGATATAGGAGCCGCATTCTCAGTGTTAAATACCCAAAAGGGAAATCTTTCTAAAATAAAATGTAACGTAAAAGGGGTATGAGAAGAGACTAAAACCTTTCTGGAGCTCTTAACCTATGAAATAGGATTGAAAATCTTAAGACGTGCTTTTCTGTATGTGCCAGAGCGCCCTATTCCCCTCCTTGGGAGAAACATACTATCAAAATTGGGGGCTTCAATAAACTGGGAACAAGACAAAGTAGAACTCCAAGTTCCTAGAGATCAGAGTTGAGCTCATGGCCTTATTACAAGACATATCAGCACCTGAGAAGGAAGAAATTCCTCAAAACATTTTAAACCAATTTAACTTAGAGGTTTGGACACAAGGATAATGGGAGGAGCAGGTAGTGGCATACTAAAGTGGAATTCCACTACAGTGGAATTAAAACAGATAGACCACTGGCCTCCAGTAAAACAATACCCCCTAAAGCCAGAAGCCATAAAAGGAATCCTGCCTGTAACTGACAAACTTTTAAAACAAGGGTTAATCAGGACATGTAGATCCCCCTGCAACACTCTCAATTTACCTGTTAAAAAGCTGGGAACAGGGCAGTACAGATTTGTTCAAGACCTTAGGGCTGTCAACGAAACAGTCCAAGACATACATCCTGTAGTACCTAATCCTTACACCCTGCCGGCTAATCTCCCTGGGGACAGCATGTTCTGTACAGTACTAGATTTAAAAGATGTTTTCTTTTGCATCTCATTGGACCCTGAGTCCCAGGAGATTTTTGCCTTTAAATGGGAGGACCCAGACTGCCACCAGAAACAGTACTGCTGGACTGTCTTACCCTAAGGATTTTAAAATTCCCCTAGAGGGGCTGGACTCGTGGCCGAGTGGTTAAGTTCACACGCTCTGCTTCAGTGGCCCAGGGTTTCGCCTGTTCGAATCCTGGGCGCGGACATGGCACCGGTCATCAAGCCTTGCTGAGGCGGCATTCCACATGCCACAACTAGAAGGACTCGCAACTAAAAATACACAACTATGTACCAGGGGGCTTTGGGGAGAAAAAGGAAAAATAAAATCTTTAAAAAAAATAAATAAGTAAGTAAAATTCCCCTAGAATTTTTGGGGAAATCCTGAGTTGAGATTTAACGGAATTAAAATTAAAACAAAACACTGTATTACAGTATGTGAAAGACATCCTAATAACCAGACCATCCAAGAAAATCTGATGAGAACACAGTAACCATGTTAAACTTCTTAGCCAGTAGGAGATATAAAGTGTCTAAGGTAAAAGCACAGATATCTAAAAAACTGTAACGTGTTTGGGGTTAATTATTTCAAAAGGGCAGTGCAGACTTCCTCAAGAGAGGAAAATAACAATATATCACTTGCTCCACCTGTGTAGGCAGCTAGGCGGATTCTTGGGGATGGCCGGCTTCTGTCATATGTGGATCCCTAATTTGGGGTTGATTGCTAAGCCTCTCTATGACAAATCGTAGGCGACAGAAACAGACTCATTTGAATGGGATAAGCTGTGCAAACAAGCTTTCAGTAAGCTTAAAAACTTACTAATGAAAACACCTGCACTGGCCTTACCAGCTTTGAACAAATCATTTGACCTATACATTCATAAAAAACAAGGAATAACTCTAGGAGTATTAACCCAAATGTTGGGACCATTGGAAAAAAAGTGGTAGCCTATTTCTCAAAGCAGCTAGACACTGTAACAAAAATACGGCCCCCATACTTGAGAGCTGTAGCTGCCACCTGCCTACTAATCAAAAATATGAACTACTTGGAGCAATGCCTGGTGACCCACAGACTTATTCTCTAGACTTAGATGAGTGGGGGAAAAATTCTGCTCCTCTGCTGGCCCCTATGACAATGCCTATGTTCAGCAGGAAGTAGTTACAGAAGATAGACCTTTGCCTCATGCCCCTCAAGAATGAAGAGCAGGATAAAACTAGAGGAGAGATTTTGTCACCAGCTGTGGACTCTAACCTGCTTCTCTTATCTTGCCTAGATTCTAAGCTTTTTTGTGTTTGACCTATTTCTCTTGTCTTGTTGAAAGATGTAGATGTTCCTTTCTCTGACAACTTTGGCATCTTGAGTTTATGTGATTTCAGGTATGTTCCAGGAAGAAACTCTAAGTGACAACCACCCTGGACCCACCCACTCTGAATCAGACCAGACCAGTCCAGACCACAATCACAAGAATGACACCTGCACAGACAGGCAGAAAGTTGTACCAAAGTAACCTGCCCTCATTAACATCCTAAGTTCTCTTCCTTTGGGAGGCGTGAAGCAGACATTTTTAGATCATGTGATATATGTAAAAGCATCATTTCAAACCACTGCATGTGCAAGGTTATGCCCACCTCTAAATGCGATGATGAAACTTCTCCTTTAAACCTTCATTCCCTACCCTAAATAAAGGAACCCACCTACCCGTGCTCTGGGAGCCATAGCTTGTGAAATTCTTCCCTATGGTCTCTGTTTTCTTTGCTGCATGCTGTAAATAAAATTTCTGCTTTGTATGACAACTACTGCTGGTGTAGTTTGATTGACTTGCCAAGAAGGTGACTCATGTTTGGTCCAATAAAAGAAGCACATGAAAAAATGATCAAACAGGGTCAAGGAGTGGCCAACTTGCCCTTTCTTAGAGAAGCTCTTGGGGCTTTCAGGTCCTAAGGAAGTATATCTGTAGTTTTTCGTGTGTTTGTTTTAGTGTACCTCAATGTTTTGGTGGTGGTTTTTTTTTTTCTTGAGGGGGTGGTTTTGCTGAGGAAGATTCTCCCTGGGCTAACATCCACTGCCAATCTTCCTCTTCCTGTATGTGAGCAACCGCCACAGAGTGGCCACTGACAAACAAATGGTGTAGGTTTGCGCCCAGGAACTGAACGCAGGCCGCCTAAGCAAAGCATGCCGAACTTAGCCACTAGGCCACCAGGGCTGGCCTCGTGGTTTTAAAATCTAGATATAACACTAGAATTGCATTAGTATTTGGTTAATTACATTTGCGTTCTAGAATTGAGTTTCGAATTTATAAAACATAAAATATACTAATATAAGATCCTGGGATCCATAATCTTACTTAGGAGCCTAAAAGCCAACAGCCAAGGCTGTGAACGTTCATTGGGGAACCTCATCCTTTAAAATGAGATGAATTGCAATTCTTCTAAAGAGTGAATCCTGCACTCTGTATATGTGAGACCCATATCAAACATCCTGGCCCTTAACAGAGATGCAATTTGGTTTGTTCCTGATTAGCTGCAGGACAGTTAGCAAGTCTGTGGATCTTTTGGTTTTTCACCTGTCTGCCAAAAGAAGCTGTTGGAGGTGATTCTTTCTTTCCCTCATGCTGTTTTACTGAGCCTCACATGGAATTTATTCGTTTGAACATGTAGAGTGACTTTAAGCTCTTTGGTCCCTGGATTTCAGATCACTGATCACTTACGTGGAACAGCTATAAACAGACTGGTCACTTGATCACTTACTTAGAGACTTAATTATTATTCATGAGAGATACAGGGAAAGAGTTATTTAACTGATTTTACTTCTTTTCCTTCAAGGATGAGCAAAAATGTGGAAGAGTAAATAAAGTATTTTTATTACAAAGTTGATGTTGACTTATTTTACCATCCCTCATTCACATTTTAATCATTAGGAAAAGTCTCCTGAGTATAATAGCTAAATCTCTGAAAAAGGGGCAAGGAGATGGAAGAAAAGGACTATTAAAAATAACTATTTATTGAAGATTATAGTGTGCCAGACATTGTGCTAAAAACTTTCGAGATTATCTCACTAAATCTTCCCCACAAATCTAAAAGGTTTGTACTATAATTATTCCCATTTTATAGATGATGAAATTGAGGCTGAAAAACTGAGAAGTAGTGGCTTCCCCAAGGTTCCTCAGCTAGTAAGCGACAGAGCTATACCAGTTTCTTTCTTTTTATAAGTAGAGTTATCACACCTCCCGGTTTACCTAGGATAGTCCCAGCTTACATCTTGTAATCATTAATGGTGTCCCCTTTCCATCTCAAAAGTGGACTGGACAAAAACAATTCATATGGTCACCCCATCTCAATGTTTCTCAATCATGGTACTATTGATGTTGTAGGCTGGAAAAGTCTTTGTTGTGGGGGGCTGTTTAGCAGCATCCCTGGCCTCTATCCACTAGATGCCAGTAGCAGCCCCCGACCCAGGCAACAAAAAACAAAAAAGTCTCCAGATGTTGCCAAATGTCCCCCGAGGGACAAAACTGCTCCCAGTTGAGAATCACTGCATCTAAGGCCTATGCTCATAAAAATTTAACCACAAAAGGAAAATATAGTCTATTTGCAACAGAACATGTACTATGAACTGAACCTACTTATTACAATGGCTGGTATTCCCCTGTACTCAATAAAAGTTAATTTCTTGGGGGCATTATTTTGACTTCTCAATTGTAGAGAAGTACAAGGGCTAAACAAACAATGAACAAGATGCCTGGAGAGCTCTAATGATAAAAATTAGTTTGTTGCAATTCTTATTAAAGAAGACTGAAATAACGCACAGGGATGTGAACCAGAAACCTCCTGGCTGCCCATTCTAGTAATACTATGGAGTTTGATTATTGATTTCATTGGGGGTTATGCCTTTGTAATGAACATGACAGCCAGAGAATGACGCAGTAATTTTCATACTGCAGCTTTCCTCAATAACAATAGCAATGATAATCAGTGTTCTATTTTCTCCTCCTCTTATACTTAGAAATGACCACCATTTCTTTCATACCACCATTTTCCATTTATTAGCAATAACAGAGGAAATACCAATAGCACCAATTAAAAATGAATCCACATGACGTGTTTTATCCTTACAGCTGTAATAACTAGTAACTAACATGGATTGGAAAGCACTTTGCAAATGTAAAAAGTGCTGTACAGATACATCATAATTATCATCATTAATAAATTAGCCCGATTCTCCTAGTATTCAAAAGGCACGTAAGGTCAGATACATGGGTTTCAGTGGGGCAAATGATCACAACCTACAATGTAGCAATGGTTCACATGTGCTGGCAACAAGTTTTACCCCATGCAATCCTGCAGAGCTGAAGTTACACACCCTTCAAAATATGGGAGAATGAAGCTATAAGTAGACAAAACAGGTTTTTTTTTTTTAGATTTAATGTTTTTGTTTTAATAACAGACTCCTACCTCTTTTACGTTAACTTTTAAAAGATAATATAATTAATCAAACTTCTAAATTGTACATTCTAACAAAATTAAAATTTATTATTTAAGGTGACAGTAAATCTTATTCTTTTCTATGAGCTGATATTCCAGATACTGTTAGAATTTCAAAGCACTCTGTGACTTCAAAGAGGCCAGATTGGTAAATTTTGTGCTTGCACACCCTCAGGGAATATCTTCGGTATTCATTCCAGAATTGTTACTAGAAAAAAACAGCTTTATCCATTCTCTTGCCAGCAGGAGTCTTGGCAAGAGAGAGCTCTTGGCTGACCATAAATAAAATTCCTTGAATCACCAGTATCTTGATTTAAGAAAGAAATTTTACTGTGTCTTTCATACACAAAAGCTGATTAACAATGGTTAAAAAAACACTACTCCACTTTTTCACAGGTGTACAAAAGGAAATATAATGGAATTACATTCAACAATAAAGCTTAAAGTTCACTCTAGGTAATAGTTGCATTAACATTCACATACACAAGCACAGAGTAAGTATATTTCAGGAGTCTTATAATAGCATACAGCATACATATGGGAGATTGATTTCAGGGAACATCAGAGGTGTTAGCAAGATTAGCAATTCAGAGTCTTCTAGAAAAGGAAAACTAAACCAAAGAGAAGGTGTAGGCTAGCACACCAAGACAAATCACAGACTTAGAGGACTGAAAAGTCTGCTCACTGTATGTATGAGAAAACAAGATTTTTCTTCAATTTCTGGGTCTTGATATAGTGGGCTAGAGAAGGTTGTGTATTCAAAGTGCACATAATTGTTTCTTAGAAAAGAGAGAGAGAAAGGTCCTTTTATTTAGTAATTAATACATGCAAGAGGCAGCCCCAGAGTGACCTGAAAAGAGTAAAGCTGTGATTGGCAGGTGGCCGGTATAATACAGATGTTTCAGGCAATTCTCTTAAAGCACTTCTGTAGCAGCAATGATCATTTAAATGGCTGTAGACTGAATAATTCTCTTCTGAGGAGAGTTTAGGGGAATTGTATTCATCATATTTCTCTTTAAAGATTTATAGTTATAGATTTTCTCTTTTTTTAAATAAATCTATCAAACAACAAACAGCATAAAGTGAGGTGTTGGGGTTTTCTTTTTTCTTTTGCTTTTGCATATGTGTCATTGGAAAAGGATCTGGCCTTTTCATAAACATCGTGTGCAAAAGAATTTTTAATAAAGTGAGCACAAGGACATATACAGGAAATACATCAGATCTGCTTCTGTTGACCTGGTTGGCCCCCTGTTAAACACTGTACTATTCGCTTGTAGGTATAACGCAGGTTTTAGGTTTAATGATACCACAGCCAACAGGCTTTAGGGGCTTCTAAAGCCTCGTCAGTGGGAGTAGTTTTGTCTGCTAGAGGGTGGCCACCGTCTCTTGAGTTGTAAGATTTAGAAAGTCTGGTCCCTTTTAGTTTCACATTTCCCCTCCAGACTGGTAACTCCAACTGTTTATTTGCCTTTCTTTCCCAGCCCTCCTTGCGCCAATTAGTCTAATCTGGCCCATCCCAGCCAATCTCTGGCACTCACATACCCCCGGTGGCCACACATACCCAGTGGCCACAGACACCCAAGCTGCTCAATCTCAAAACCTTTCAGCCTGCCCTGCAAGTGTCATCAAGACAGGATCCCCGGAGCACAGGGCAGAGAGTCCAACCTCTCACTGGCGGGGCTGGGAAGCCTCTCCTTTGCGGCGGAGGAGAAAGGAAACTTGGGTCTGCTTTTTAGGTTCTGAAAACAAGCCAGAGCGGAGAGAAAGAGTTAACACCAGACTTAGTAAAGCTTTTCAGACAAAACCTGTTAAATGCGATCTAGACAGACACAGGGAACTTTCTGCAGATTTCTGAGGTCTCTAAGAGAGGGCTCAGGTGGATAGGAGAAGGGAGAAGGGAGTTGCTACATGGGAGAGATTTGCCATTATTACAAAAACTGGCTAAGTGGCTTGTTTCCATTAGATGACCTCACTGGTCACTGTTGTCAGTCGTGCTGTTCCCTTTCTCTTTTTTCTCCTGGGTCTTGTTACCCTTCTTCTTTTTCTTCTTTTTCTTGGTCTCTTCCTTTTTGCCGAAGGTTATGAAGTCACTTTTGTCAATTTGGCTGTTAGTAGGCTCCTGCCGGATGGAGATGATTGCAGGAGATCCTGGGATAATGAATTTGTCTGGCAACTCACCGGGACCAGGTTGTTTGGGGTTGCCTGGTCCGTATTTAAAGGTCCAGCTGTTGCTGTTGACACCAGCACCGACTGGAGGGGACACCTCTCCTGCTTCTGGTTCTGAAACACAAAACATCACAAGTCAGTGATAGAGTCAACACATATCTTCCGTGCCACACTAGTGGGTCGAATACAGAATAAGCTGCACACAGGCCTGGCCCCCAAGAAATCGCGGGTTATTTCTTCAAGCCTGAAGGTAAGGCCAGTGTTTGGAAACAAGCAAGAACTCAGATTTTCTCACCAGAGAGTCCTGAAATCTAATTTTCTAGGAACATATTTTTGTTCATTGTGGAGAATTTCCTAAAGAATGTGGTTGTGATGATCTTGCCTGGGAATGGGGCAGGAAATGTACTAGATTAAAGCAGACTATGCAATAAAATACCTAGGAATGAACTTAACAAAGGAGGTGAAAGACCAGTACATTGAAAACTATAATACATTAATGAAAGAAATTGAAGAAGACACAAATAAATGGAAAGACATTTCATGCTCATGGACTGGAAGAATTAATATTGTTAAAAGATCCATTTTACCCAAAGCAATCTATAGATTCAATGCAATCCATATCAAAATTCCAATGTCATTTTTCACAGAAATAGAACAAACAATCCTAAAACTTTTATGGACTCACAAAAGAGCCAGAATAACTAGAGCAATCTTGAGAAAAAAGAATAAAACTGGAGGCATCATGCTCCCTGATTTCAAACTATATTACAAAGCTATAGTAATCAAAACAGTATAGTATTGGCAGAGAAACAGACACTTAGATCAATGGAACAGAATAGAGAGCCCAGAAATAAACCCACGTATTTATAGTCAATTAATTTATGACAAAGGAGCCAAGAATATACAATGGGGAAAGAACAGCCTCTTCAATAAATGGTGTTGGGAAAACTGGACATCCACATGCAAAAGAATGACACTGGACTGATAATCTTACACTGTACACAAAAATTAACTCAAAATGGATTAAAGACTAGAGTGTAAGACCTCAAACCATAAAACCCCTAGAAGAAAACATAGGTCATAAGCTCCTTGACATCAGTTGTGGCAATGATTTTTTGAATCTGACACCAAAAGCAAAAGCAACGAAAGCAAAATTAAACAATGGGACTAGGGGATGGCCCGGTGGTGTAGCAGTTGAATTCACGCACTCCACTTCAGTGGCCCAGGATTCCTGGGTTCAGATTCTGGGCACCAACCTACACACCACTCATGAAGCCATGCTGTGGCAGCATCCCACATACAAAATAGAGGAAGACTGGTACAGATGTTAGCTCAGTGACAATCTTCCTCAAGAAAAAAGAGGAAGACTGGCAACAGATGTTAGCTGGGGGATAATCTTCCTCACACACAAAAACACAACGAGACTACACCAAACTAAAAAGCTTCTGCACAACAAAGGAAAACATCAACAAATGAAAAGGTAACCTACAGAATGGGAGGAAATATTCGCACGAAAGGCAGCTGATCTAAATATATTCTGCATCATCCAGATGATGCCCCCCAAACTAAGAACTGCCAAGGGATTTCAGAACCATTGTCTGCAATTGCACTCAAAAATCTTTAACTGTCTTTGGCTAAATTGGGAAAAAAAAACAAAAAATGAGATCCTAAACTAGAAGTACAAGCAGATTATGTTACTTTTAGTGTAGGAACTAGAGAAAACTTTGACTACAAATGTATTTTGACACCTACTCAAAACAAAAGATAAAGTAGTTGAGGAGACAGCCCTGATGGCCTAGCAGTTAAAGTTCTGCACACTTTGCTTGGGCTGCCCAGGTTCTGTTCCTGGGTGCGGAACCACACCACTTGTCTGTCAGTGGCCATGACGTGGCAGTGGCTCACACAGAAGAACCAGAAGAACTTACAACTATACACAACTACACACTGGGGATTTGCAGGGGAAAAGGAAGAAAAAGGAGGAAGACTGGCAACAGATGTTAGCTTAGGGCAAATGTTCCCCTGCAAAATAAATAAATGAATGGATGAATGAATGAATAAATAAACAAATAAACAAGTTGAATCAATTATTTAATCCTAATTCTATTCTAATAACCTTGAGGGGTAGTAGAATGAAGCAGAGAAGAGACGGAAAGAAGTGTGGGTATAGAGGGATACCATGCAGCAAAAGAGGATGGAATCCTGTTGTAAATTGGGCCTACTTGTTTGGGTAAAGCATTGGGAGCTAACCTTACTTTCTAAATCCAGCCCCCTCTCTCAATGTGCTCACAGTCTAGTTGGGACACACACTCAAGTGACTACAAACCAACTTGATAAATGCAATAACCAAGGTATGTGTAAAGTATTATGGGACTCCAGAGGAGAAAATTATTAATTATTAATTATTAATTATACTTGAGAAAGTCAAAGGAGATTCCAGAGGAGAGGTGCAATTTGCACTGAGACTTAGGGAAATGATTATGCAGCCACAGGGGTTTTCAATGCAAAACTTTTCCAGGAGCCTAGTTGGAAGACACACCATAAAGTAAACCAATGACTTCTAGAAGAGAAGAGGTCAGAGAGGAAGAGTAATGGTCTGTTTGAGCAAAGTATTCCCAGTGGCCATGACACTGGAGCCCTTTGACATCACAGCAGTGTTCATGGATCTGACACTGCTCCTCTGGTGGAGTCGTGAAAAGTTCCAGCAGACAAATCATTTATGTTTGATTGCAGTTTGGGGTGGTCCACATCCGCTACTTCCATCTCCTCACCTCCCATCACTTCTCAGTCTCCCCCAATTTGACATCCCTTGAGCACTACTTTTCTAACACTGCTCATGCCAAACTCACTAATTACACTATTTCCAAAGCTAGTGGTCACATTTTAGTCTTCATTTTACCGAACCTCTAAGTAGGATTTGTTGTCTTCTTGAAACACTTATTTTTACGAGTTCCTTGTCAAACTGTACTCCTGACCCTTCTCTCAGCTGTTCCTGTCAGTTTCCTTGCGGGATCCTCCTCACCGGTGTGTTGGAGCTTCCTTGGGGTTGGCCCTACACCTTCTTTCTCGTCACTCTCTCCTTCTGGGATCTCAGTCTTGTCCATGGGTGTACATACTATCTAAATATGCTAATGAGATACAAATTTATATTTAAAGCTGTTCGGGCCGAGGGCAGGCCACCCCAAAATATTCCTCAATAGCATATTGATTATTTTGAATTAATGTTACTTGAGAAGCAAAAAGGGCTTTCTGACCCTCCTGTCTCTGTTCCCCCTGAAAGCAGGAAATAAATCTCCCATGTAAGGGTGCTCTCCCTGCAGCCTTATCACGAGGTCAAGGGAATTCAGGCTGATAAGGCTGCAGAAGCAAACCTTGCTAATTTACTGCCTCAAGCCTACACTCTGCTTAAATTCCTAACTGCGTACCTCAAATCTAAGTTTCTTTGTCCTGTTATTCCTCACAAATTTGTTTCTTTGTGTAAAAGATTTATATACTGCCTGCTTTGTCCATTCTCCGAGCATTATTTCTCTATAGTCTCCAACATGTATGTATTAAACTGGGTTTTTCTCCTGTTAATCCGATCTTGTGTCACTTTTATTATTAGCCCAGCCATAAAAACACAAGAAAGGAAGAAAGGAGATTTTCCCCACCCTGGCAAGGCCCATATCTCTCTGTGCTCCAGTCTCACATATCCCACTGCCTATCTGGTTATCTCTTCTTGGAGGTCTCATGGGCATCTCAAACTGACGGAATCTGAAATCCCACTCTTGATTCTTCTCATCTATTCCTTTCTAAATCTCTCCAGTCTCAATAAACGACACTTCATTCACCCCAATGCTCAAGCCAGAAACTTCAGAGCTAGTCTTCATTTTTCTCTACTCTTCATTCTTCATTTATAATATATCAAAACCTGTCACTTTTGCCTCCTATATCTAGGAGTAGATATAGGAGATATAGGATTCTGCCTCCAATATCCTATATCTTGTGTAAGGGAGGAAGACATTTCCTCTACCCACTCTGGGTCCTTCTGCGGACAATAAATTAAATTCACGGGAGACAGAAGAACAGGTGAAAATTAAACAAAGCTTTATAACATGTATACATGGGAGAGGCTCAGGAAACCTGAGCAACTCAGCCAACTGGCCAAGGCTACCTGTTTAAGTATCTCCAGCTACAGACAAGGAGGACGTTTAGGGTAGTGGTTTGGGTCTTCAAAGGGGAGGAAGGCAACCCACATGGAAATGGAAAAGCAAATGTTTGGTACATAGAACTTTGATAGAAGTGGGCTTAGCAAGGATCCTCCCAGTCTACAGGAACCCAGAGTTATCTATGGTGATGACTCGTCCTGAGGACAGGCCTTTATCTTAAATTTCTTCTAGGCAGTGGGTGAAAAAGTCGAATGTTCTTGCTGAGTCTGAGCCTTTATTGTCTGCAGCTCGGAATAGTCTGCATACCAGAGTGGCGCATCTTAGGGCGACCTACCCTGAACCCCATCACTTGACTTTGTCCTCTTCTCCCCATTTTCACTGCTGCTGCCTTCTTTCAGGACACCATTCTTTCAGCAGTAGCCTCGTCCTTCCTCAACCTGCTTCCACTTTTGCCTCTTCCTACCTCTCCACCTAGGAGCGACAGTCATCTTTATTCCTGAAAGACTTCTTTTTTAAAAAACTGGAGTATAACATACATACAATAAAATCCTTTAAAAAAATAGAAATTAGATTATATCACTCCCCTGCTTAAAATTATTCAAAGGCTTTCTACGGCCTTGAGGAAAAAAAGAATCGAACTCTTTAACATGGTTTATAAGGCCCTTCAATAATCTGATATATTTTTCTTCTCTAATCTAATCTACAAGTCTCCCTCTTACCACTATCCTCCAGCCACACAGGCCTTCTTTCAGTTCCTCAGACAGCCCTTGGGATTGTTTTCGCCTCACCATCTGTATACATATGGTTTCCTTTTGCCTGGAATGATCCCCTCCATTCTTAGCATGACTCCTCATTCTCAGAGTCTGGGCTTAAATGTAACCTCCTCAGAGAGGCATTCTATGACCATCCTAGGCAAGCAGCACCCTCTTCACCCCTTTCTCTATCACTGTGATGTCCATAGAGGAAGAA